TTGGCTTTGCATTATATAAAGATTTATTACTCTTAGGATCATCGGTAATCTGTAAAATTTTTGTGCTTTTATCAATAACTTGAACAATTCAGGACGTTAACAGCTGGACTATAAAATGGAATTCATCACTGAACCTCGAGGCCCAAGGGTAATATCAGTGGCGTAGCGTCTATGTATGCTACGCTTGCGGCGCAAGCGTGAAAAATTCTAGATAAATTCTAAAATTCTTGCAACACTTCAAAAAAAATATACCAGAAGTAATTATTTTGTTGTGTTAAAGTCAATGCATAACATTTGCCGCAATAAACGGGTTCTCTTTCTGGTCATGAGCAGCATGCAGTGAACTCCAGCGCCAACATGTAGTCCGGTCGCTTGTGTCACAATTATTGCTCCCGCTCGATTTGCGTGCCAAAATCGATTTTTTTGCATGAATGTATTTGAATATCCATCTAGATTACGAAAATCATAGGTGCCATTTTTTTAGGAAAGCGTAAGGGGTTTAACGGGGGCGTTAATGACGTGCGGTCAATGTCAGTTCCTCTGCGGAGGAGCAAACACTATCAATCGTAATAGATGATAAGAACGAACTTTGAACGAACGAACTTCAACAAATTGCTTCAAAATGCTATCTGGGACATGTCTTTAATCACTTTCTTACTTAGAAATGGAAATTTATAGTCACGTGACTTCTTACCCCCTAAATTGATGTAAGGAGATTTCTAATCCAATTGGTTATAAACTTCATCCTGGATGAAGTTTATGAATGAACGTCATTGATATTGACGTCAAACTCATTTCTATAACTTTTAATATCGAAGCGAAACATCAAGAGGCAGGGCTCCTGGAGCATATTGGGGATGGGGGGGGGGTAGAAAGATTTAGGGGCCACAAGATGCTGAAAGATAAGAGCAGTATTTACTGTATTGTTTTAAGTACATTATGGGATTTATTGTAGACTAAGCCACATCAGCCCTCTCAGCGATAAAGAGGGGCAAAAAAAATCAAGGAATGAAATTAAATGAATGATTGAAGTTTAGATTCCAAGGATTTTCTAACGAGGGTCCATGACCGTTAGCATGACCGCTAGTATGAATAACATCTTTAAGCAAAAAAATTATTATAACAACAGGGATGATATGACGTGTTAATGCAATTTTTGTTTGAAACCATAAAAAAGGACAAGCACAGCTTGTCAAAAACTGAGACAAAACAGTGTAATACCAACCTCAACCAGATCACACTGGGCCCTCTCACAAAATCTTGTGTCGTTAGGAGATCTGGGATCCAGTTTGTTGTTAGAATAGTGTACCTAGTGTACCCAACTAGATAGGGGCGTGTGTCAGTATATATATACTAAACTGCTACATATAACATATATAAACATGTATATAAGTTGTCTTTTATAATTTCTGAGTCCTTGCTAGTTCATCAGCCAATCCACCAGGTAGAGCATTTCGGGTTTATGATCAGTATGCTCCTTTACACCTGGGTGCCCCCTCACCCCTGCGCCCAGGGATGATGCCAGCAAAGGTGTATCATTGAATCGTAGCGTTGTATAGAAAAGAACGGGATATCCATGTTCATGTGTATCCAGTTTATTCATGTAGCCTCACCATAGAGGTATATCTCATGTATTCAAAAAGAATATACTACGAGCTCGTAGTGCCAATGGAGGGACAATGGTTAGGCAAAGAAAATGTAATAGTGACATAAATATATGTATATAAAAATACTTGCGTACTCATACGTAAGTACAAGAGCGGTGTGCAAATAGGTATTGGGGTTATTCAGACTGTGTATAGATAGATATACATTGAATTTGTGACATTGAATCGATACATGTATATACAAATAATCGGGTACCAAAATGTGAGTTTAGGGAGAAAATGAGAGTTTAGCAGAAAAAACATGGAACCAGAAAAGTTACCTCCAACTTTAGGAGCATTGATTCCCCACATACAAAGAGCAAATTTTATTGCTGGAATTTTAAAGGAATATACAACTGCGATTAATGAAATTCAACCTCTTGTGGGAAACGGTTGGCAAATGGATGAGGGTATGGAAGTACCGATAAAGTGCCTTGAGCTGCCAGCCCCGCAATCAGTTCTTGAACTTGTCAAATGCGGATGCAAGGTTCGATGCAAGAGACGAGGAAGCTCTTCGTTTTTGAAGAATGGGCTGTCATGGACTGAACTATGCAAATGTGTAGATTGGGAAAATATTAAAGACCACGCCGCAGGTGAAGAGACAGACGCCGATTCTGGAGAGGGAGTGGAAATTCATTAACGTGTTTAAACTGTTCGTTGTTTCTTAAAGCCTGGTTTCCATATGATCGCAAAAAAGCAAGAAATACACTACGATCCTTGCGATTCCCGCGAATAATGATTCGACTTTGGGCGCGCCAAAATTAAAATGGCTGGAATCAACCAGCAATGTCTACTGCAATCGAGCTTGTTTATTATTATTGCATTGTTGAAAAGAGTTAGAGAACGTCGTGCAAGAAAAAAACATAGGTTTTGGGTGAGAAAATTTATTCAGAGGAGAGAAGAACACGGTGCGTTTCACACACTCACAAAGGATCTGAGGATTCACGATCGGGTGTACTTTTTCAGGTAGGCCTAATTTTTCAGGTTGAAATGAATGTAACCTCGGTGCCTGTTAGTTTTTACCTCTTTAGGCAGATTCCTGAACTTGTTCTTAAAGTCCCGGCTATTCTTATTATAAAGGCAGTCGTACTGTTGTATTTCTTCTATTAAAGCAAGGTCTTCTTCTGTTGCAAAAGCCAGCTTGAAATTTCAATAAAAATAAATGGATGCGAGGCTTGGTAGAACATCCCGGATGATAAACTGACGCAAGGATCGCCAAGTTGTTAACAAGCGGTTTCCATTAAAAAACCATCGACGCAAAGATCGCAAGAATCGCAGAGATAGAAAATTTTCTATCTCAAACGCAAGAATCGCAAAAATCGCAACAATCGCAACAGACGGATTAGAGCAGTTTCCATTAATACGCAAGGATCGCAGGATCGCAGGATCGCAGGTTCGCAGGATCGCAAGGATCGCAAGTCACAAATTTAAGCGATTCTTGCGTCTCTTGCGTTTTTTGCGATCATATGGAAACCAGGCTTAATACACCTATATTCTCAGCAGCTTTTCCATGTTATCCACTAAAGCTGATGTTTAAAATGTTTTGTAGAAATTTCTGCTTTAAGCAATTTAGGGACACCTCCTTCAACGGGCCATTAATGGCATCCCCCTGAAATGAGGCCCCTCTCTTCCGATGTTTAAAAGTTGCGGAAATGACTCTGAAGCGATTAAAAATTGTTTTCTTCAGAATATCTCATTGTAGAAACCAAAAAAGTACTCATTTCCATATATGGAAATAGGGGCAGAAAGTCACGTGATTAACCATATTAAGTCCTAAAACCAGGACCCAATATTTAAAGATTTCCCCAGTTAACATTTGAAAACAATTTAAAGTTAATTTAAAGTTAGTTTTTATCATCTATTGTGATTGGGACATTTTTTTCCTCCGCAGAGACACTTGCTTTGACCGGTCGTGATTTGCACCCCAGTAAGACCCACTTCCGCTGACCCAAAAAAATGGCACCTATGATTTTTATATTATTGATAGATATTTGTAGGCATTCATGCAAAAAAATCAATTTTGGCACGCAAATCGAGCGGAATTACACAAGGATCCCGACTAATGCCAATTGGCTATTTTTCCAAATAAACAGATCGCTAAAAATTGTGAAATACGAAAAATCTAAAAAATTGAAGCCCCTCGACATCACTCTTTTTGCCTGTCTAAAATACGAGAAACATGCGATGCTCCAGTGCAGCTTCAGTGCAGCTCGAGAGAAGCTTCTGAGAGATGTGAGAATTTTCCGGACTGGATCTTGCGGTCAGCCTTAGCGCAAGCATTCCCAAATATCTGATAATCCACAACATTTTTCTGCCTATAAGCTGCTTTTTGCGAATATTCTTTGCGTGATACATCATTACAAATGTAATTATTTTCCATTCTCTACTTTGTGACTGTTAAAAATAGAAAAAGTTTCGTCAAAGTGGGGTCAAAGTCTATTTGTCATGATCCGCATTCCGTAATTCAAGTCAAAAGGCATGCCAGTGTAGTCAGAATTTACGGACCAGGGCATGCGGTAGACCTGAGGCCTCGCCAATTACAGTAAATCCCCGCATATAAGAACCTACAAAAATAAGAACCTAGAGGCTGTTCTTCCTAAATTATGCGCCTTGTAATTAAGAACCTGTTTCAGTGTGATAAAATATAATAGGTTCTTATCCCAAGGCCAAAAAATAGAGTTTTAAATGGTTGGTATTTACTCCCAGATTTTTAAAGATGAGGTAAAATCACAATCGGTATAAAAATGTTCAGTTGTGCATTTTCAGCATTTAATACATTTTAACGAAAGAGAACTTTAAAATCACTTTGACTTTTTAACATAATTATATATAGCAAAATCCCAAATTTTGAAAAATGAAATAAAAGCATTAGAATTCATAATTTTCAATTCCTGAGGACGTATAAGATGATCTCCAGATCCATCCACTGTCATAAGCAGCCAGTGCGCTCAAGCATCTTCTTGTAAATATCTTTGTAATGTTGCATTAATAAGCTTGCCTCAGTAATAAATCCTAAAATTTTGAATAAGGGATCCTTCGAATAAGAACCTTCATACTCTGAAATTAATCCAAGTACCTTTCCAATAAGAACCTACTTCAGCCTGAACCTCAAAAAAGTAGGTTCTTATATGCGGGGATTTACTGTAGTTGATGATTTGCAAGGAACAACTTTTTGATACCATTACACATGTAAGCATCTTCAATTCTAACAACTCTCACAGCTCATTATTGTCATCTTTGTTAACTATGACTTATGAGAGTAGAAAATGAGAGTAGAAACTTTGCTCCTGTTCGCCTAGGCAGGGGCGAAACTTCACTATTTTCATTAAGGGGGGTATGAAGCTTAGATGCCTGACGAAAGGGCGTGTCATGCTTGATGAAAGGGCGTGTCATGTATGAACTTCATTTTTAGGGCACATCGCCTCAAGGGCTTAAATCATCGGGGACCCCGAGAGAGGGTCTTTAGACACACGCTGTTTGTTTAAAGTCAAGAAATATGCCTCTAGTTTTTCTGGTGTTGGCTAAAAAACATTTGTTTCCGAAAAGCAAGCATTTGTAAGGCCTGTCTTTTCTATAAAAGAAATATAGTCTTCACTTTCTAAATCACCTAGCTATTAAGAGAGCAATTCAAAAAAGAGACTGAGTAGGGCCTCAATTTTGTCAAAGTGGAACAAGAAAACACCTCTTGAAAATTTCGGAGTTTAGTAACAGGTACGCAGACTACAATGTTTCAACAGAAAAGAGCTTCAGTTGTATTTTTTTGTTTGGTTTTCAACTTTCGGTTGCTCTGGACGGAATTTCAACATTTTTAGACACCCAAGCACTGAATAAGTATCTCTGAATTCACCATAACAAAATCCCTCAAGCAAAGAAAAGTTTTCCTATTGGAAGTATCTTACAGGTACACCTATTATCAAAGCTCAATTGTCGTGTTCTCGTAACCATAGATATTGTTCAGAAATTGAAGAAACTCGATTTTAATCAGTTCAAAGTTTTTGCAGTTCATATCTCAATTACAATTCGTTGAAAAATTTTCTATTATTTCCCGCTCGAACTGATTAAAAACTTCTGTCACTTGTTACGGTTATTTGAATTTTTTAGTTAAAAGACTTTGGCGGCTGTACAGCCATTTTCTAGCGAATGGTGCAATACTTTCGGACAGTAAGTGTAAAACCTTAAGATAATTTCAGGGCATAACTTCTTATTCCCTGGGCATCAGACTCACTATTTCTTTATATAATGAGTCTGGTACCCAGGGTAAACTTTTTATGAATGTTTGATGAAAGTTTCATACATTTAGATAAAAAAGTATTACTTGATTTTTCTCAACAACGTATTCCGAGATGGTATATCCTTCATGTTTTGATTTATAATGCTTTAAAATTGTCAGTGTTCCATGGGCTTCGAGGCAGGATGGAAGTTGGGGGGGGGCTTGTCAAGGGAAAATTTAGAAATCACAACAAAAGATTTTGAAAAAAGCTCTCTTGTTTTGCAAAAGGTAGGGGGGCATGTCCAGTGTTCATTTCCTTCTTGCATCAAACACACTTTACTTTCCGTCTATACTTTTGCTGTCGATCAATACTTCAGACTTCATCTCGAGGCGAAGATAAACATGTGCGCGTCGAGCTCGAGACGAAAGCGCTGATCGGTGGACGAAAGACAGAAATGTATATATGTTGCAGGTGCTTGCCTCGTTTCTGTTTTGTTTTCCCAACTGGGCGAAGATTGAAAAAAAGATGGGGGAAAGACCATAAATTCAAAAAACCAAGCTAGGGCAAAAAGTGGCAATAAAAGTGCGACCAAAAGAAAATTTCCATATTTACCCGACAGATACACTGGCAGCCATAAATTTGCCCGACAAAATCTGCTTTTTTGAAGATTGGGGAGTGCAGCATCCCCCCCCCCATACCCCCCTAGCAGTTTCGCCCCTGCGCCTAGGCTCTGCAGTGTGTTAACAATTTCGCAATGTGGAGAGCTACTCATTGCGGGAATCCTCTGCTGCATTATAGCATAAAAGATTCTTACATTTGGTGGGCATTAGGTGATGCTTTTTCTTGAGGAATATGAGTAAGAATGAGATCTTTTAAGAAACGGTTTTAGCACTAGGAGCTATTCTGAAAAGTTTTGTAAAACAATTGAGCTTTTTTCAAAAACTTTTCGCATGGGTGATGATTTTTCCCTTGGCCCCCCTCCACTTTCTAACCTGTGTCGGAGCCTCTGATGCAGAGAATAGACACCTTGATTGATTAGAATTAGAGTACAAACATTTCGTTACTTTAAAATCAAAATTTGTTATCACGATTATCATTAATTACCGCTTGTATTTTTAAAAAGCTTAAAATTACGATTACATTCATTCAACATAGCCGTATATTTTATGTTACCGTATGCCTTAGTTATGCGCTCACGCTACGCCACTCGGTAATATGCTTTTCGGCCCCTTTTTGGTGGCCTTGCTCTCGAATATATAAATGCGCATGCGCTCACTCGACAAGGTGGCCAAACGATTCGGTAACACCTGTGTCACTCGACTTTTTTGATAGAGATCAAACTTCGCTCGGCATCACTCAACGCCATTCGACTCGCTCGACAAGGTGGCCAAAAGACTTGATTTTTTACTCGATTTCTTGTTGAATAAAAAATCGAGTGAAAAATCGGGTCATTTGGCCGGGGCTTTACAAAAAGGGACACTTTTTTCTTACAAAAGAGAAACTTTCTCCGGAAAAAGTGGATTTTTATTAATACTGAATAACCTGGGGGTCCAGAGGCCTCTACTCCTACATCCATGCTTCAGTACTTTTCTCCTTTTATTTGCTATAAGAATACTGTTCTTTGCTGTAAAACACCATTCAATTGCTTTCTTTCATGTAAGATTGCTTTAAAAGAACTCAAAAAATTAAATTGCATTACTTGATTCGGACTTCATTATTACATTTTACAGTAGATTAAAATGCTTGAATACATACTTTAAAAAATTGTAAACAGAAATTGTTTGTTTCAACAAGAAGATTTTTAACGCTCTTTACCTTTTATCTCCAGCTTTTCAGCATGGAAATGTGACCGAAATAAATTTTTTCCCGGTTAAGATTATCCAGTGTTTGTTAAACCTGGTACATAAGATAGGCGAAATCCTTTGTAGAATGGTATATAATCAGGAATAATATTAGAGTTTTAAATAGCGGACACGATAGAAACCAGATTTATTGTCCGCAATATATTTGTTTCTCCGGGAAGAAATTTCGGGACTAATTGAAATTCTTGTCCTTAATCAAAAATGTAGTACATAGATAATTTTTCAAAAAAAGGTAGGATTCACTTGTTGGATTGGTGTCTTCGCCTGTGGTTTAAGGTGTCAATTATTAAAATTTGTATGTTTATTGAGGCTCAGGAAAGATTGGTTACAAACTGCATCCATCTGGCTATTAATTCTTGATTTTTCTTCATAGGAAAGCTGGGCTCTATACAGTTGCCATGTGTTCGAAATAGACTGTTTAAAATAGTCCAAAAATCTAACGAAATGAAAAGATGTAAAGCAGCAAGAAAAAGCGAAAAAATAGTGCATTATAGTGAACCGATGTTTCATGTTCTGAGGACTGTGGACCAAAAAGTGTTTTGATGTTATATGTTATATTCGGAAATATTCATGATAGGTTCATTTCTTGCATTTCTTCGACCTACCAAAAGATGTTGATCATTAACTTAACATAAACTGTGAGAAGTGCGTTAAGTCTTGTTAAAACTGTCTATACTGTTATTCCCCCTATCCCCTTCAAATCCTAGTTCCTATCCTAGAAACTACTGTTGCCACCCGAAGACTTTACAGCGCTGAACAACATTAAACAAGTTGGCCAAACGACTGAACTTTTTACTCAGCTCAAACATAACACGTGTTCAGAAGTTTGACCGGGGCTTTGAATCAGGGGGTCCTGGTATTAACATCTCAAGCGGGGGTTCTGGTAGAAAAGAAAGAAAAACAAGGCTACTTCATAGAGTTGTCAAGTGATGACGTCACAAAAGTCTATTTTGAAAATTTTTGAAATTTTTTCCCATAACCTGAAAGAGCATCATGAAATACCTCTTAATCTGCAAAATCAGTTAAAGGTATCACGAATTGGCTGAAATATGTCCTGATGAGCACAATCTTTAGCCCAATCAAACCTCTGTAATTTGATAACTTTAGGAACTGAGCCAAAATAACAGTAATCCGTTGGCAAACTTCAAATATTCTATCGGCCATGGCTCACCCGATTTTTGACAAATTTAACTGATTTTGCATAAATTGGAGTATTTTATGATGCTCTTTTGTGTTATGTGATCAAAATTCGAAAATTCTAAAAATAGCTTTTTGTGACGTCACACTAGAGAACTCTATTAACCACTCGTTTAAAAGATCTTGAATGCACTTTAAGTGCCTTGGAATACTGAGCATGTCAACTGACACATCAGAGAAAATTGCAGCTTTATTTTGCAATCTCTGTTCAAAAACTTTTATCAAAGGAATATTTTCGCCCCTTCCCCCTTTTACCCTCTCCCACTAGACAAGTGAGCCTCTTTGTCAGAAAGTTTCTGGCCCTACTCTTACTTGAACAGTTATTGAAAAACCATGGTTGAAGTGGTAAGCAGAAAGATATCCCAGATGTCCCACATTTTTAATGTTTGCGATATCCATTTATATGTCGCAAAAACCACGCTTTGTAGTGTACTACCTTGGTGAATATCATATAGTCGATACCCTGCCTACAGAAGGGGTTTCCACCTAACAGTATGCCGTAAAGTACTCTTCCCTTAGTACTGCTGCACAGCAAAGGAGAGCCGGAGTCACCAATACAGCCTCCATTTCGATACTCATTCTCGATACCAACTGTTCCTCCGCAGATAACATGATAGTTTATAAGGGCAAACTTCTCATGGCTTTTCGTACGAAAGTCGTAACACGCTTTCCAAGGTATAAGAGGAACTTGTATTTCTTTTAATGTTTCTGATATTTTGTAACTCTTTCTACTAACATCTGAAATGGAGTCTAATTCGTTGTAGCTTCCCCAACCTGCAAAAAGCAATGTGCATAAAAATCATGCCATCGCAATGTTTAAAACAATGTGCACTTTTATCAATAACATGGACTCCGACAAAGGTTGAAAATTGGGGGGGGGGGCCAAGGGAAAATTTAACACCCATAACAAAAGATTTTGAAAAAAACTCTATTGTTTTGCAAAAAGGGGGGCCAAGGCCCCCCGGCCCCCCCCCCCTTCGTCGGAGGCCCTGAATAAGAAAGCCACACTGGTTTCAGTATGCTCTTTGTACCAGCGCGTTGAAGGATAAAAAAGCTTGAGACAGTAAGTATTATCGCTTAATTATGCTGATATGGTTTTGCTCTTATCCGCGGAGGGCTCTGGTACACATGGTAATTTCAGTGCTAAGTCGAACTCTATAGGGGGCCCTTATGTAGTATTATGCGTTTTTGGTACGCTTGTGCAAAACCAGATGAGAAGAACTAGCTAAATGCCAATTTTTCATTGCAAGATCAATATGAAATGCATATTAAAAAGCGTGCAAGCTTTATTTGGAAATGCCATTCTTGGTATAGCACATGGAAATGAAGTTCGAATTTGGAGTTGTCAAAACTAAAGCATGATCACATATATGGTCCTCTTGCAAAGTAGGACTTATAAAAGGTAAAATGATGATTCCCTTGGAAGCAGAGGGGTGCCCAATCGCCAGCACGACCCACAGGAAATTGATTTGCCTCCATTAAAGGCTAGCATATCTTGCCCTAAACAAAACATTTTCGTGTGCAACTTCAGTTACAATCACTTTTTCTGAGCTACAAGGATACTAAAAAGACTTCTACAAGTTAATGCAGAATGGTTTTACAAAAGCAAACAGTGCCTTGAAGATTTGAGCGACTCGACGTATTTTTTACCTCACTATTCAAAAGAACTAACAATGTTTTAAAAATACATGTTGACCTCAGACACCTTAGATGTTCTTATTAATGGACGTGTGCCAGAAGCTTTTTCCACCTTGTAACAGCTGTCCAGGTTTAGTAATTTTTATGCCCCAGGCACACGCGGCTTTCCCGCGCAATAATTTCTATTGACTTTGCAAACATTTACAATCTTTCGGTTGATGAATTCCACTTTGTACCTTTCACTATTATGAGTGACATGTGAATTCTTAGCGAGAAAACTCGATGACGAGGCATACTACACAAAGGCAAAGAAAAGCATAAGAAAGTTTTACGGCTATACACTTCGCTTCAAGCTTTAACTTAAAACAACTTGTGTAAGTTTTGCGATTTAATAAATAGACAAACCATTTCATTAGAAGACTAATTTGGCCAGTCTTATTAACAACCTCATTCAGTTGTTGTTGGTATCAAGAACCAACCAAGGATTAGAAATCTGAGGGGGGGGGGAGTGGGGGGCTTTGATCTTCATCATTATACGGAACACAAAAGTTTTCATATTTTCCTTTTGAAAATTAGTGTCTAATTAAAATTTTTGAGGGGCTCAAGCCCTCCAGCCCCCAACCGCCCCCCCCCCCTCAGCTGTGGCCCCTTGGTTGATATATTCTTGATACCTTTCTACTTACTTAATTTAAAGGACCTGACGCTTAAGTTTATTACCCTGATGCCCTGTTATCAATAATCACACGAGACTTATTTGGTGCCTATAACAAAGTCTGATACTGTGGCTGTATCGTTAACCACAACATTGTGAGGTTAAAGGATAGAGAAAGTTTGGTTCTATTAACAAAAATATCTTACTAAGAGTGCATGGTACACGGCACCCTAGTTCCAAATTTGAAGTGGTCCGTTACATTATCTATATAGTCAACTTCAATGCTGATGTAAAATGCATGTTCGTAGCGCGAACATCAGTCCCCATGTTACATCCATTGGTATGAGCTATTCGATTACGAAAAAATTGCTCTTAAAATGCCTGCATGTAGATTTTAGCAAAACAGTTCTGGAACACCAGCATTAGAATTCATCATGAAATATGTTCATCGGTATTTCCTTTAATTTGATACCATCAGATTCTTATTTTATCATTTCCTTTCACCCAAATCTCATAAAATCTAAAGGATTGATACACATAGCATTCAAATTAGCTGGTCCTGAATACTAAGAGATGTTAATTTCTTAATTGGCAAATCAGTTTGGAAAATAAGTACTGGATCCACAGCTAAATTTATTTTCATCTAATGCCTGTAGCTGTTGATTATATATTGCTTGGTCACTTCATGGGCGTTGTGGTTTTAGTTTTTTTGGGGAGCAGACGCGGCTGCATCTCTAGAGGAAAGGTATATTATAGTTGGTCATAGCTTATTCAGGGGTTAAAAGAGGTGATGCTTTTTTCAGTTTTTATTTAAGACTATCTATGTTTGCTTATCTGACAGGATTTTGTGTGACGGAGAAAACAGCATTGAAATACGTTTTGTGATATAAATCTTTTCAAAAATAGGAAAAATGCACTTTGTTACTCATCCCAAAAAGCGCAATAAGATCCAAATATACGATGCTGGGGAATTTTGCCCACTCCCCTTGCCCTCTCTCCGTAACGTTGTTGAGTTTCTCCACAATGTTTTAACATGCTATCTTATTCACGCTACTTTAGTTGCAAATTTTATCAAAGTCTCTTCAACAAACCTGCTGATTTGCAGTCGGTCACATTAGTTCGTTCACTGTCGACGACATCAGCTTTCGTTTGCTTTGGCAAGCTTTCGTTCAGTTTTATCAATGCTATATCGAAATCCCACGAATAGGCCCTGTTCGTTGATAACTTGCTCACAATCTCGTGCATTGGGTGGACTATAATCTCCTGTACTCCGTACCCTTTTCTTAGCGTCAATTTTTGCTTTGCTGCCTGGTGGTGATCTTGAAAGAGAAGATTAATCATCAGGATCATCCCAATACACTGTCGCTAGAGCCTTTTTCGTAATCATTATGGTCAAAAAGGCCACGTCCTAAGCCCATTGAAATGTCTATGCACTATGGTTTGTAATATTCTTATACGTTTTAAATCTTTATTTCGTGAGACCTTTATTTCATTAGGCATGGTAGAATCACAAAATATTTAAACACTGCATTAACTTACTCTATCATTTTACGCAACAATCAGAAACGATATGACTCACGAAATAATTTTTTTAACATTTCCAAGGAATAATCTTTCATAAAATGAAGCAACCAATGAAGATTGCCAGGTTGTAGCTGGAGCTTTGCATCTCGATTTACGCATATTTTCACCCTGGCAAGTGAATTTTTTAAATCTATGAATATACCGATTTTGGAAAAAGTAGCTACCAGCAACTACCAGATTCCCGTCAATATAGTTTACCTTTGGCTTTGGCGTAGAGAGGGCTCGAACTCTGAAATGTCCAGTTGTCAAGCGCTTTACCAACTGACCCACAACCTGGCACAAGTATTAGACAAGGCTTTCCACAAATTGGGTGCAAATTTTCGACCTTAGATCTAGAGTAACATTTAGAGTAACAATGGGGGTAATTTGGGGCTGGTGAAGAATTATAGTGAAACGAACATTGCTCGTGGAAGGTAATGCACATTTTCTAACTACCACAAGTTTTTCCCCAATGAGCAAGCTGGCTATCGACTTGCACAGGTGCAGTCATACTGTTGAGGCCAGCAGATGCTATTTCGTTATACTCGTCTTATCAACAGCAAAAAGCGTCTTGCTTATTTTGATTCGCGTACATAGATGCTATCTTATCGTAATATCATACAATTGATAGTGGAGTTGAATGAGGGGTCATTCCCACCAAATGCCGCCTCAAGCTACCGGTACGTTCTCACTTGTACTGTCTCTAACATAACTCTTGCGGCGTTGAAATCTAGAGTGTTGCATTGGTGTGTTGATAAATGTTTTTATCTTCCAGTAAAATCTCTTTGTTCTTTACATCAGATTTTTCCCATGCTTTCTAAACATTTCACAAGCAGATCCCTTGCCTCTGAGTTATCTTTTCCTTCAATTTCGCATTCAATATCGTTACAATCAACTTCCATATAAGAATCTACAACTATTTCCCCGGGCTCGTCTCTTTCCTGACAGATATTGTGTAAAACTGCGCAGGCATTTATTGTATCTGCGGCGAAGGAGGGTTCCAGATTGACTTTCCCATTCAACAGTCTCCAACGCCCTTTAAGAAGCTCAAACGCCCCCTTTATTTGTATCGCTGTTTTGGATAGTGCTTGGTTGAAGGCCTCTTGCGCAGGACCAAGAGTCGCAGAGACAGGAAAGGGGGTCAAAAGCCAGTCCAATGCCGGATAGGCTGCGTCTCCTGCAAGGCAAGGCTTGACAGCCAAGTTTTTCCCCAGTTCTAAAACAGGCTCTCTAAACATGCTCCATTTTCTTGCTTCCAAGTATAACCGAGAATTTTTGATGATCTCTTTTGTTTTTAAGGAACCTGGGAAGCCAGCCGATATACTAAGAAACTTCATTTTTCCGTCACAAATTCCTTGACAAGCAATGCTATAGTTCAATTTTCTGTCTAAATACCTGCAAGTATTATTTTCAGGGGCAATTATTTGTACATGAGTCGTTCCGATTGCCCCAAAAATGTTTGGCAGTGGGGTTTTGTCTTTGAAGGATGATATTAAGTCGAAAAAATCATCACTTTTGTTAGGCCAAATTATATAATTATACTTTAGGCTAAGTAAGGCGGCGATGAAGTCTTTCGTAATTCGACCAACGATAGACGAAGAAATACCAAACTTTTGTCCGTTACTCCAATATGAGCCGCCATGTGCCAACCAGTGCAAGGAAACAGCGACCCTTTTTGGTACCGGAATTGTCTCGCGCATGTTGGATTCCTCTTTAACCATGTAATCATGAACAATGGCACACAAGTAGTCGAAAGTTTCTTTGCTGACGCGAAAAGTAGAAAGCCAGTATTGAGGGTCTTGATTTCTCCCAAGCCTCAATGCGGCGTCATAATGTGATTGGAATTCACTACTTTGTCTGCTGAATGCCCAGGCTTGGCGACTTTGATAAAGCCCGACAAAGTTTTGTAAAGCTGCTCGCTGCAACTGCAAATTGCGAAGCGTTTGCATCAAATATGCACTGTAGCAAAGTCTACGAAGCCGTAGCTGTCTGTGTCTTTCCAAGATTAGAACGGCATTCACAAGAAACATGAATAATTCCTCGTCAGACATCGCTGTTTACAGCCAAGGCCGTGTTTCGTGATTATCGAGAAGAGAAACAGGCTATGTTCCCATGTACACTGTCATTTCCTTTGAGCTTTTCGGTTTTGAATTAAAAGACTTCCGTTCTTTGTCTCGGTTTGAGTCGCAATTGTTCATACTGCATTAAAAGGGCTTTTTATTGTTTTGAGAATAAGACACGTTGAGACGGAGTCACGTGAGTAAACTGTGAGCTCAAAAGTTGTATTTGCAGACCCCGACATCATTGTTGTGATAAAGTCTGAGTTTTTTGACATTTTCAGGGTAAATGTTGTATGAGATAATGCTAGTGGGTGCACTACCTGCTCATTATATCAACAGTTATCTAGGAACTCGCTAAGTATTTTTCTGCTATTCAAAAAACTTTTCTTGAAAGAGTCGGACGACAACTGTGAAAAGTTGCATTCATTTAACCATTTTCTGGAGGTTTTCACAGTATTGTAGCGAGGGGGCAAGGGGGCAACCCCAGGCACGTAAATAATAGGGGGCGTGGGGGGCGTAACGCCCCCCCCAAAGTTTGGAAAATCCAGTTACAGTTGGAAAACATAACGGTTGACTTGGAATTTTTTACATTTTTAGAAGTTTTTTATTTCAAATGTAAAAATTCTAAACATCTAAATTCACAGGCTGAAGCTGACCCATCCAGTAATCGTTTTCTATTGTGAATCCCGTCTCCACTGGATCCAAATTGCGCAATTGCCCCGTTTGCTTTCTTTCTGACGGGAGTTGAATCAAATTACGAACAGGCAAGGTGAATTTCTGGATAAGAAACTTGAAACTTTACAGTTTGGAATAATAACTCCCGTATTGATCAGAAAATATTAGAGTGGAAGTTTTTTAAGACACTACGAGTAGTTAATTCAATAAAAGATTAATAATCTTTGAGTACTAGAAATTCTCAACGCTTCTTATAAGAACGAGTTTATGCTAAACTCCCCCTGTTATTTGTTAACGTCCTTGACTCCTTATCATAAATTCCCATGACAAAACTGCTGTGAAGCAAGAACACATTGCAAAAACTGCAGTAGAAGTATTTGATCAAGAAGAGTGCTTCATCTTTCGAATCAGGCATATGCACAAGTTTGTTCTCAAATCATCATTTCAATTGTAAAGAATGAAAAGGCATTTGGCCCTCTGAAAATTGTTAGTAGTTTTCTTCGATCAAAAACAAAAATTAAAGGCTCAAATTCTTGGTGCTTCTATATCGTGAAAAAATGTATTTTAGATAAGATTGATCTGCGCCAATTGATTAATTGATCAATTTAGATGAAATTGATCAATTGATCTAAAAGAATACTACTTAAATGTTGCTTTACTTCTTACTGTAAGTTTAAATGTCTGTTTTTCATGTTAATCAAAATTTAGAGATTCAGGCTTTTATGCTTTAGGCTAATTATTGAGTAAAGTTTTGGTAATTATAAAGAAAATAGAAATATGGTGTTCGGGCTATTTACAAATATCAATTTGGTAGGTACAGTAGATTTACTGGTCAAATGAAAAGTTTCTTACTTGATTATTTTTGATTGGAATTTTCATCCTTCCACGCCCCCCCCCCCCAAAGTAAGCAACTTGTTTTCGTCCCTGGGCAACCCTTTTGTAAAGTTAAACCAATCGGAAATTTGAATGGCCATCGAAATCCGGTGGAACAGGGCGCCTTTTAACAAAATAGAGTAATATTTCTTAGCAAATCGGCAACCGTTCAACGTTAAAATGCCATGCACAATTGTTACGTATTAACTTAACTTTGAAACATTCAATGGTATGTAGATGTAAAGAAGTCAAGGTCGCAAAAACAACAAGAAGCAACCCAATGTAATGCGGCAAAATAAGTAGAACTTGAACGGCCAGATTATTGAAATCAAAGTCAACTAAATTTTCGCCACGGTGTACAAGGCTTTATCAGAGTGTGCTATTTAATTTTTCGTTGGAAAGCTGCTCTGCGACAAGAATTTGCAAGAGCTGCCCCCTTTAAACAGCTGGCGGTGGGAAAGGCTCAAGGCCTAGATGTCCCATAGAGCTGGCGCATATGTAGCCCTTCTGTAACTCCCTAACAAGCCTCACTCAACCCCTAAAAGCAGTACTCTTAAGTGCTATTGGCAATAATCACTTCCTACCAATGACGGCAAATAAATTGTAATAAATTATAGCTTATTTCAGTTTTATATCTATTTTTAGTTACTACAAATAAGGATAATTTCCCATGTGTGAATAGCAATAAAATATATAAATAAGGGCGTTTAAACTAGATTACCGATTGGCGATTATATCATCCCTGTAACAGCTAAGTAGTATGGAATAGATTAGCTATTCATTCAGTTTCATGATTTAGCTACATCCATATTTTATGCACTTTAAGCGGGAAAATACCTTATTACATGAAATTACGTATGCAACCTAATTAAGAAATAAAAACTTAAGTAAGATTAATAAAGGAATTTCTTCAAAGATATTGTTTTTAAGTTATATTACTGAAAGATTTTATGCGCACAAAGGCATTTTAATTGCATTTACTAAGGAATTTTTCATTGAATTTTTTTTAATTTTAAGGATTGGTCATAAAGAGGCTTATTAACGAAAATATCACAATTTTAATAACACTCGCCTCAAATTTAGCCCGTCACGCGTGCTGCGTAAGTCAACATTTTTAGTAAGGCAAACTCAACACAAATGCAGAACAAAATTTAGAACAAATAAATATATTTAAAACAGATCATACAAATTTGAAAAATTGCCAGGTGTTTTCAAAACTTGTCCCAAAAATTTTGAACAAGAAGCGTTTGTACTTAAAAATTACAGGACATTATAAAAGACCTCTGGCTGCTATCACTCAACAGAAACGATGGTTTACTTTTTTTATATGAACGATTTCATAAGGAAAGGAACCTCGACATTTGTCAGAAGTTCAGAATCAATCTACATCATTGTTCAAAACAAATTAAGAACAAGCTGAGCTACTGAGCTAGATGTTATTTTAAACAATGTTATGAAACCCTGTATGCTGGGGGGAAATATTGGTTTTATTTATTAAATTTTATTTATTTTAAAATTTACCTGATAAGTCTTCTTGTGCTGCAGCACCCGTCCCGATTTGCGCAAAATCTGGCACTGACGATGATGCCCTCTTTTATAACTCCAGCAAAAATTATGAGAATAAGTAAAAACTATAAGCATGATTGTATTAACAAGTAACAAAAGATAAATCAAATGATAAACTTTTTTTAAAGATCCTTACTCATATTAACTTGCAGGTATTGTGGGTAACTCTGAATGTCATCGACGCAGTGAGCAGCAGTAACCAACCACATTTCGTCAATCGCAGTGGCGGAACATATCTTCCATCTTGGATTCGGTTGGGTAAACGTCAATGATAGGATGGAAGCCCAGTCATTTCGATCTGCGTTACGACCACCGATCATTTTACGAATTCGTTTGCTCCTAAAAGTAAATTATGTTCTAAATGCCCGTATTCAGCAGATTAGTCTACTATTTTCATGACTGTCGTTGATTGCTTACTGCTACAATTTTTAGCTACTTGTCCCCTTTTCTTTTTCTTGTCAATCCTTTCTTTTATGTTTCTAATTGCAATTACTTTGGTAGGGCCTCCCCCAAAACATTTTGACCAGGACCCCATATTTGCTGGCATGGCAATCTTTGCTTTGATTGAAACACAGAATTTGAAGCTATTAAGTATTTCTTAAGAGAGCTTGTGAAATACAAGTGCCTCTATGTTGATTTTTTGAAAAGGTACGATTTGCAATAAGATGAAAACTCTGATTTGAAAACAATATATATCGAAGCACTTTGCACACTGCATATGAAGCCTTTTAATGTAAATCTCTAGAAATGTATCTAGAATTCTCTAGAAATCCTTTTACTCCAGAAATGTAGGCAATAGATTGACAAAAAAGCAAGGGCAGCTTTTCAGTTAGTTAGGCATACAGTTCCCTTTTAAACTACGCTAGTTGTATAAATGTGTGAAAGCTATAAACAAAGCCATTCTGCAATATTTAGAGTAAACCCTACCTCTCCATGGTTGCCTGAGATATCAAGATAGCCGCCAGTTGCCATGAAAGTAGCACAGAAATAACCAAAATCTTCATCTTCTTTACCTACACTAACAAATGCAAGGATAATTTGACAATGTTTCTGATTCTTAAAGTAAAAAGAATTTAGTGGTCAACCCGAAGCTACGTGTGGATTGATGCAACGAAAACCCAGAGTCATCTGTTAAGGATAAAAAACACTAAGTTTGGCTCAGAAAATCAATTTACAGCCACACAAAAGTCGGCTATTTTCTTATTATTCTCATAAATCAATACAGATGGGATTTTCACATGTATCTTTGTGCATCGCATTACCCAAATTCAATAATTTTATTTACATAATTTATTTCTTGTATTTTTATTATTACTTCTTTAATATTCTGGTTAAAAAGCTTGAAAATTCAACTATGAAGTTTTTCAAAAAACCGATTCTGTATAAATTGTATCGTATCAGGCCCGACGAAATTATTTGAATGTGGAGGGGCCAAAATATCAAAGTCTTGAAAGGGGTCAGAAAAGCCGCCACCATGGTTGGCGGGAAGAAAAATTCTAGAATTATATGATCTCAGGGATGGCCAGAGAATGTATCTAAAATGAAATTTAACTGAAGGAAAATCCAAGGCAATATGTTTAAGCTTTGTTTAATCAATACTCTGACTCCTTACAATATCTATTCCTCTTTTACGTTGTCTGCACATGAAGTTTCGTCTCGTCTATTTTAATGTTTTCTTTAAAGAGGAAAGGTCTGGCAAAGTATTAAATTAAACTTTTAAACATATAAATGGCTTTGAAAAAAGCAAACATTTAGTAAACTAAAGCTTTTCGTCTGACACTCTTCAGAGTTTAAAACGTCAGAACATAGATCGAAAACTCTACGCTAAGAAATATATATACCCAGTTGTGGATCGAAATAGGCCAATCAGAAAAACGAGCACATGACTGTATAGGTTGACCAATCAGTGCCGCTTGCCTATTAGAATGTTACCAGTGGAGTCCTAAGGTGAAAACGAACTCCTTTTGTCTACACAGCAGCGGTTTTTTCGTGCTTATGTAGATAGATTCTAAAACTGCTAGGTGGAACGACGATCGGGCTTTACCAATAATCCGAAACATGTCGCCATTATAGTTTTTTGCACAATCTGGGTTCTCTAGCAAATGCTGCCCGATAGCAGAATCGCAGGTTTTAGTTGTAATTTTAGATTTGCAAGACCGAGGTGGCTGTTCTCTTTGGGGATGGGTTTTGTTTCTAATATTAGATGGAACATGTTGTTCTATCCTATCCTCCAATCTTTGGGTGGT